CTCAGCGTCTCCCTGGGCTGCTCTTTCTCCCTGGTCTGCTATTACTGTTCCAGATCAGCTGAAAGCGCCGTGGGTCCGGCCCGGGTCCTCCGCCGCTCTGCTCAGCGTCTCCCTGGTCTACAGACCAGGGAGATGCTGAACAGAGCGGTGGAGCACCCGGCAGGACCCGCGCTGCTTCCAGCTGATCTGGAAGCGGCCGTGGGTCCAGCCCCCAGTGCTCCGCCGCTTTGCTCTCGTCTCCCTGGTCTGCTGGCTCCGCCAGCAGACCAGGGAGACGGGAAGCAGCTTTTCTCGCCCCGGAGAAGGCGGGCGGCGGGACCAGGCGTCCCGCCGCTCCAGTCCTCCGGGGCGAGAAAATCCCCGTTCGTAAGTCGGATCTGCGTAACTCGGGGACTGCCTGTATACCCAAACAAAATCTGTGCACACACCAAAGCCTAATGCACATTCTTACTCAAGTACAGGTTGTAAATTGACAGTCAAAACCAAGAATAATACTAATGAGACATATGCTGTGTAATATCAGAGCTCTACAGTTCTATTCAGAATGGCTTTTAGATTATTTTTCTTTTTCCAATTATCACTTTTCACAATCAGACCACGTATATACCCAGATAGGAAGAGTATGAGATCAAATCCTCCAGCCTCTCCTCAATCAAAGCTCCCGCTGGCAAACTACTGCAGACTGAGACTCTTACACACATCATTTAATAAGAATGGCATCCTCTGATGTTATTACACAGCACATGTTCATGCAACAATAAGCACCTCCCACACACTTCTAGTCATTTGCTCCGAAGGACATGCTATTGAAAAGAAAAGCAAAAACCAAAAAGCAGCATATTCTGTAAGCCTTCATTCAGTCAGGTATAAAAGACAAAGAAAGCTGTCAATTGCATAACAAGTGTAAATGGTTTGCATTTCCTGATTAGTCATGCAGGCAAAAAAGCACAGACTTTTGAAAATGGTTTGTTTATCAAACTGTAAGTTAGAATATAATTCAGCCAGCAATCCTAATGAAAATAGGGGTTTGCAATATAAAGGAAACTCTGCTGGGATATATTTGAACCTGCAAATGTCCAACTAGAATAGAGGAAAGATGGTCCTTATTTCCCAGTTTAGCAAGATGCCAGAATAGATACGAGTGCTTCAAATATCAGTAGTCATGATTCATCTTGAGTGATAAACTCCTCCATGAGATGAATAATGCTAGTTCACTGTAATGTAAAAGCTGTTTTTACTATGGCATCTTCAGAAAGACAACAGTATACCAGTTCACATGTGCAAAGCTTTCTTCTCAAGTAGAATGGTTATTCACTGAATTAATTTAAAAATTAAATGACTGAAGACGTGAAACCATTTCTTTCTGCTCTCTT